TTCAACCAAACAAATCTTATACAACATGGGATTGGTCGTCATCTTTATCGACAAGGAAACTCGTGAGACTCTCTACACTAATGGAACAAGATTCTTCTTCAAGCTCTCCAAGAACAGTGCTGATGCCAACCTCAAGCTTCGTTTCGGAAATTGATATTCACAACAAGTGTATTGTAATATTTATTCACAATAAAACGATTAATCAACCAAATTATCTTGTACAATCCATTCATTAAAACTATCAGGGTAGCCACTCCATTTGACAAAAATCTCCTTGACGCCATTGCGGGTACGACGTTTCAGTATTTTCTCAATAAAATACTGTCCAGACGTGTTGGATGCTGGGGTCAACTCTTGATCGTAGAATATACCAGATATCAGATCACCGTTATAGTCCTTAATCTTGTAAACAGTTGGTGAGCCTTTCAAAACTTGATCAATTGTGAAAATCTCCATAGTGTAGCCAGCATCGTAACTCTTTTCAAAAGTTTTTCGATACTTGTTGATCCGCACAGTGTCACCCACTTTGAATTTGGGCTTAGTAGTTGTGCTATAGTCTTCAATAAGAATATTTGCAGTAACATCTACAGGTCTCATTTTGATGGAACGATTAAATGAATGATTAATGCCGTCTACAATATCCGCAAGTACATCAATCCATCGATCATCGTTCTTGTAGTACATGTATTTGGAGAGGCGAGTCTTGATAGTTCGATTGGCTCGCTCAACCATGGCAGCCTTTTGCACAGTGTTGGTAGATCCATGAGCTATATTCCAGGATTTGAACAACTTTTGGCAGTGGACATTGTAAAACTCGACACCTTTATCAGTGATCAATTGTATCTGATAACCCTTCACAAAGTAGATTTACTTTGTCAAGTATTTTAAGATCGTCGTCTTCATCAACGATTCTTGTGAATCTTCCCCAACATGAATTAAAGTTCTCGATATTCCCGTCAAAGGAAGGGAGAATATACCCTTGATGAGATTTCAACGCCATATTCTTTCCCATGACCTCAGTCATTTCTCCAAACGTTTTTTGCAAAGTACGGTTCAATTCATCAGAGTTACTCTCTTGTTTCGGTTCATTAGCCATTTCCTGGTTGTGTAGCATTTGAATATGTTCCTCTCTTTTAACCTCGAATTCTCTTAACTTTTCAATGATTTCTTCCACTTGTATTAACTGTCTTTTTGCGGACAGAAAGCTTTCTTGGAAAACTTCATTTTTCATAATAGGATCATATGATTTTTTCGTTTCTTCCAAGGAATCTTTCCCCATTATTTCTCCAATTTTCCTTAGAGACTCATGTATCTCTTTGATTGTTTTGATAGAAGCGTGTAAGTTGTTATATGCTCTATCGAATTCATTAATTTTGATACTCAGACGTTCAACATCCTGGTTACTTTGCACATTGAATTCGGCGTTGTTGGTTTCTTCAATTTTCCGTTGATAGTTCAAACGAGTTTTCCTAACAGTTAATATTCAT